CTCTTTTGTTGTTGTTGTTACAAGCCCTCATGCTTTTTGATGTACCTCCTTTGACACAATGTAACATCTTTTATTATTACTTTCTGTTTGTTGTCAATAAATATAAAAGAAAGAAAGAAAGAAAGAAGGTTCAGAAGATATTTTTTTGACATTTTCTAACGGTCTAACAATTGATATTTATATGGCAAAAAAATGTAACCAGTAGGGCTACTGACAACAGTTAAATCCCTGCTATTTGACCGTTTTCTGATATTTAAAAAAATGCGAAATAAATGCATTTAAACATTTCCAGTTATAATGGCAAAAAACGGTCTAAAAATGGGGTCAAATGTCATAAAAATGCCATTTAAATGCTTATTAACAGCGTATTAAATGGCATTTAATTGGCAATTAATTACACCGTTTTCGACGTCCTGGGCATTTGTTCTAATTTTGACTAGGCAAAAATAAAATCTTAAAGATGTCGAAATTCTTTCAAGTTTGCCTAAAGCTAACCACGTGATTCAACACAGTCAGTAAACGGTCGTAAGCAATTCCGTCAAAATACTGCAGCCATACAAACAGATCGTGATACGATCTCATGTAAACAGCGGAATACAGCAAACAAAATACAGGGAATTACTTGCCGTTTTACGAAACATTGATGTTGTAAATGTACAATTGCTAGGATCAAATATAATAATATAACAAAGAGACGGTAACAGATCGATGAGTTCTTCAGGTTCCTTTTTTTCGTTTTATTTATAGAAAGTAATTATTGATAAACAGGCTAATTTTGAATACTTGAAAGCTTTATAACAGCAGCTGGAAAATATACACAACTAATTTTTGAATAGATACATGAAAGGAATCGAATAAGCTTACTTTTGCAGAAAAACTGAACTTGTCACTAAATTTGCACTCGTCACTAGTGACCAATGTAATTGCACAACTCCGGTCGTTGTCTGGTATACAGAACAGAAAGAATGGATTTACTTTTGCAGTTTTTCTGTAAAAGTAAATATATTCGATTTCTTTCATGTATCTACTCGAAAATTAGTTCTGTATATTCTCTAGCTGTTGTTATAAAGCTTTCAATAATAAAAAGTATTAGGAAAATCACGTATTTTAGCTAAAAAATTATAGAGCAAGCCCAAGTAACAACGACCCAATTTTTTGGTTATTTATCTAGATAAATAACCAAAATAAAATTGGGCTGTTTTTGCTTGGAAGGCTGCGATTAAAAGTCTTTTAAAACCGAAATTGATCAGTGACAAGTTTCGTGAGTTTGACGAAAGTTATCACAATACTCTGATATGGTGAGAGATCAAGTGAACAGGTTGCTTACTTGGTCTTGGTGGAAAATATCGAAAGGAAAAATGTCGAAAAGGAAAATGTAGAAGAACAAAATGCCGAAAAGGCAAACGTCGAAAGCGGATAATGGAAGAAGGAAAGTATCGAAAGGAAAACGCCGAAAAGGAGGAGATTTCTGTAGTAAAGTAAAGTATGATNAAGTAAAGTATGATGAAGTTCAGTATGGCTGCTACGATGAACGCCTCACTCTCACCCCACCCTCACCTCCCCCCCACGTTCAGTGATTTTCAAAGGAACAGAAAGAAATCTCGTTCTTTTCGGCGTTTTCCTTTCGATACTTTCCTTCTTCAATTATCCGCTTTCAACATTTGCCTTTTCGATATTTTGTTCTTCTACATTTTCCTCTTCGACGTTTTGCTCTTTTTTTATCGACATTTTTCCTTTCGACGTTTTCCGTCAAGCTCGCTTACTTAAACCACTTAAAGACAGTGAGAAATCAAGAAAACAGCAACCTGTTTTAAATAAGCAATATATAATCTACGTATGAGTCAATATGTATGCAATCTTCTTTTAAGTATAAAGCAAAAATTTTCTGTGTACTTTACCTGTTCTTTTATTATAAATATAATATCACATATATTAGCAAATACTTATATCAAATGTGTTATCATTATGATGGTAGACGAAAAAAAAAAACAATATTAAACTAATTACTCAACATGAAATTTCTCTTTATTTTTCTATGACATCTCATTGTATAAAGATAAGACAAAGTAAATATTTTTATTTCCACAAAAACCTGTCGAGAAGCAGATATTAAAAGTAGTTTGTTAACTGAGTGATTTGCTTTGTCACTATTATCATTATGGAAGAAGAAAGAAACTGGTCATTTGGCCTTTCAAAAAATAATTATTATTTACAACAAGAGAAGCGTCATATCCAAACTACTACTACTAATGTTGATCACTCTTCGTAAGAAATGCTCTACGTTTATCTTCTACGTTCAAAAGCTTTTAATCTTAATTTTGTATTCTAGATCGATCAACAACAACAAGAACAATGAAAATGAACAGAATCCTAGTACATGGGATCTTTCTCGAGAGAATTCAGATGAAGCAATGAATGAAATTGAGCGATCTCAAACGTTAGATATTTGTAAAAAGGCCTTAAAAATATTTTTTTTTTTACTTTCATTTATATTAGTCTTATCGGGATCAGTATTTAGTCAATTAAGTATTATGGCTGTATCATCAAATATAAAGACAAGTAGTTCAAAAGTATGTTTTTCCAATGAATTATTTTAATATCAAAAATTTCTTTTTCACGTGTTAACCATTTATTAACGCATTTGATAGCATGAAATATTATTTGATTTCAAAAATTGCTAACGCGTCTACATGTGTTAAATTGTATACCAGTAGTAAGCGAAAATAGTTCTCGTCTATTAAAAACTCAGTAATCTGTTAAAATGAATTAAAATGGATAGCTTTTTTTAATGCGTTATTCTAGCGAAAAAACGTCCTTTAGTCTCATATTAAATTTTTTTAAGGCACTTCTTACGTTAAAACTATGTCGACCAAAAGTGTCACGTTAAGGGCTCCCCTCAGAAATTATCTTCAACAACGTACATCCGATACTGGCCAAACTTTCCATAAATGTTAGGTTTAATGAGTTACAGAAATGAAAAATTCTTTTTGTCTCCAAGTCTTACGGTTTAGGAGTTTTCCAGAGATCACGGTTCAAAAAGGACCCTGAACTATTTACCAAGATTTTTTAATATACCTCAAGCTGGAGAGTTCGAGTTTGTTTTATTTTAAACTAGATACCTAACTCCATGGACTGACTGACACCGATTTCTCAATTAAGCCTTTACTGGTTTTCTAGGCAACCAACAACATCCAAAATCCGGAAAATCCTCAGTTTGACAAAAAACTAAGACTTTGATTGAAAAATCAGTGCCGGTCAGTCCATATAGTTTCTTTTCCTCTTTTAAACAAAAAAAGAATGAACTCTCTACGATAAACCGTCATATAAAAGCTTGGGAAACAATTCAGGTGTAACTTCCATGTAGAGAAAACGCTGTATAAAATGTTCAGTTTTACGACTTGTAGGAAAATACTCGTAACTTTTTGATGCAGAGTCACACAAAGTTGTGCGAGATCTTATTTTGATCAGAAAAGTTGGCTCTACAAATCTGTGCGTTCAGACAAAGATTCAGTTGCATAAATATCCAGGAAAAAGCTATTATTTGAAGAGCAGCTTTTAGTGGCTCCTAGAAACCTTGCTCAAAAGCAGTGAAAAATCACCAAAAGCAATACACATTCTGAAAGTAAACACTCCAGGCTATCCTCCTGTGTGCCTATCTCCAAACCGATTTTTTGACCGAAAAGCATCATTTTTGTGCGTGTGTGTGCATTCAAACACATTAAACTTGTTTAATTCAGCAAAATACATTAAATTTTAACGGATTTGAATGCATTCATGTATATAGCAAGAGGAGACGTCAATTTTCGAGGAAGTAAGGTTTTAATAGTATGTCTGATTGTGTAGAAACAATCGCCCTAGACTAAACGTATTGAGAGAAAGCGCATAGCATTGTCTGGAAATAGTAAAATTTCAAGTAGTTTAAATGCTTAGTTAATAAGGCATTTAAATGAGATGAACTTGTAAAAATGCATTAGGAAAGTTAAAAAAATTAAGACTCTCAGATGCATTCACTTTTAGTATATGCAGAGGCGTTCAAAAGATTGTTTTCCCATTTAATGAGTTTAGATGCATTCAAAATGTCGATTTCAGTACATTCAAAGCTAATTTTTTGTGTTAAAAATATTCATTCGGTTATTATAAATTTTCTTTTGTTGAAAATGTATTTACTGATACATCATAATTTCTAGGAGACGCGTATACTTTGGCATATGGCAGCATTATCTATGTTATTATTTCCAAAAATATTAATGATTATTAAATGCATTAATCGAACATTGAAAGGAATTCCAAGACCGAGTTTTAAACTATTTGTTATTGTAAGTGTTTGTACAACTATATTTATACTTTAAGTTATTGTTAATTATTATTATTGTTTTGCAATAGATGATGATAACCGAGTTATCGGGAAGCGCTGGCATGGGTCTATTAATATTTCAAGTTCTTCCACATATGCCATTTATATTAGCACCATTAATATTTCTTACATTAGGTTGGCTACCTGGCCTTTTACGTACTATCATATCTAATCCTACTATAACAAACAAAGGCTTATATTATCTACGTTTAATTTTAACACCTCTTGCTGTTTTACTTCAAATAACGTTTCCAGTATTTTTATATTTAATCACAAGGAATGAAGATCTTAGAATAACTCAGTTTTATATATTCACCGCATTATCAATTGTTTTAATTTCATTCAGTTGGTGGCCAAGTTTCGCTCGTGTAGTAACAAAACCGAATAAATATTCTCATGAAGCAAATGACAAACCAATAGAAAAGTAAGCGTAAAGATTATTGATCGAGGATGTTCGGTTTCAAGAGGGATGACGCATTCAACGTTTTCTAACATTTTTTTTTCGAAATTTCTCGTTATTTTTAGCGTCTTTTTTTATAAATATTCGTCTATTCAAAACAGCTGTGATTCATTGTGTTTGAAGAGGTATTTATAAGTTAGTCTTCAATATCACCATAATCAGCTAGAAAACATGATCATTCTCCATACATACATACTCTGATTCTTGATGGTTATGTTGTTCGTTACGAACTTCAAAGGTGCTGTGTTCAAACCTCGGCGCTAGTAAAGTAATGTAATAACCTTGGACAAGTTACGTATGTCTTAGTGCCTCGGGTCACCCATCTGACAGCATACTCACTGCGTTGTGACGTACGATACAGCTTCACCGGCTAGTCATCGTGGCTTTCCCGAAAGCCAGTAGGTGTTTAGTATGTGTGTATGGAGAGTGGAAGTGCCAGTAATTGACCAAAGGAACTCTGCGTGAGGCTAGCCTTCTGGTCCGAGGTGATGACTAGTGACGAGATGGGTGACCATTTCAGAAGCTTGTCAACTGCACGGAAGATATCGGGCTATTGAAACTGCCACGGCAGCACCCTACACCGGTAACGGTAGCCGCAAGGTGGGATATTGATCCGTCCTTCTTTTGCAGTAAAATTTGCATCAATGTACCGGATTTGATCACTAAAACATAGAAAGAGACAAAAGTCAGAGATCGATATATATGGTTTCGTTCTATTCAAATTATTAAGTTTCAATTAGTAGAAATTGGCAATCGAATATACTACTTTATAGTTAAAGTTCATAATAATGGTTAGCAAACAAATAAGTGATAACAAATTGGAGAAGTTCACTAGTCACCCGCCAAATAAACATGCTATTGGAAATATTTGATGCTGATCATGAATTTGATATTGATTTGTGTCCATATGAGCTCTAGAGTGGATCTTTGGAAAATAGGTCTATTGATATCCATCTAAAATCCAAGATGAAGAGATTTTGACCTATTTATCTTGTGAGATATGTCGAGTGATCTGCATGAAAAATATTTTCAGAATACTGAATATTCGAGACTCTGATAGTTAAATCACTTATGCGAACTGAAAGTGTATGTTAGATCGTGCTTCGGTACCACAGTGGTTAGAGCTTCTAGCCTGTTAGCAGAGGGTTCTGGGTTTAATTCCTAGTCGAGACATACATTTTCTTTTTCATGTGTTGATTCACTGCTAGCCGTGCTAAGATTCACTTTACAATACCAGGTTTATGATCAGTATCAAAAACCACCTATAGCTATGTTTATTTTGAAGAAAGAATGGTGTGAACATCTGTGCGGTTGCCTCGTCAGACTTTTTGTAGTTAAACAGTAGCCGGGCGAGATTTGTTACTTGATCAAGAGTAAAAAATATTCTATAATTCTGCGATGTAAAAAATTATTTTTAAACATTTTTTATGTTACATTTGATAGAACACATAAAGCCGCTGATGTAAAATTAACACTATGACAATATGTTGACATGATTGGGCGTCACTATTATATGACAGAATTACAACAATTTACGAATTTTAAGATTGGATAGATGAGAACAAGAAGAAAAGATTAATAGAGTACCTGTTTTTCCCAAACATCTTATAGGAATGACCCTTTTGCCTTTTAAATTTCTTATCTAACTGTTCGAACAGGCAGATGATACAAATAACATCAACTATATTTTAGAAATAGCAAACATGGACAGAGACCAAACAATAATCATAGAACCGTACAAGTTGAAGACGAAATTTATCCGAATGAACATGAATTTAATACTCACAATTTTAAAAGTGATTGTAGCCAGTCGTTATTACATTTTGTAAAGGAATTAGAAAAATGTCGTTATCGGTTATATATATGGATTTCCTTAATGCAAATGGTTGTTTTAACAATAATTGGTTTATCTTCTCTACCATCCGACATAAGAATAAAACCACAAATATATCAGCAAGCATTTAATTTACTATTAACTTTCAATAATGTAAAACACTATTATTGGGTGCTCGTTAGTGTTGTTAGTGGCTACTTAACATATATCGTAGGAAGAACAGTGTGTAAGGTAAGTTATTTATAAACATGTTTATGCAATCATTATTAGATTTGGCGCGATTGCGATATGATATGTGCAAAATAATAAGCAGTCCAGAAAAAATTTTTCTTATCTACAAAATTTTTCTTATCTACAAAATTTATTACAGATAAATAATTTTTTAGTTCCTTTCCTCATGAAATATGAAAAGTAAACAATAAACAAACTTAACGTTATTAACACCTTTTGTCTCTATTCAGATATCCATGCAAACTGAATCATTTGCCCTTCCATTAAACTTAACATCTGTTGCTATTCTAATATTATTATCTGTTTGTGAAGCAACCAGTACAAATCCATGTTATGCCTATATTTTTGATATACAGTTTGACAAGTTTGGTAAGTAGATTTTGACTTCTATGATACAGAGTACGCTAATAATAGATCATTTTCTCTCGATGTTCATTATATTCTTTTCGTATAAAAAACGATTTAGTTGTGATCAGAAGTATTATCCGAGGAAAAAATATCGGTTGCATGTGAGATAAGAAAGAATACCACCGGTTTCCAAAAATTCCTGCTAATTAACTCGCTCTGCACAGTAGGCATCCTGATGGACATTAGGAAAAGATCGAAAGTACGCTTTTTGCTAGAATTCCATAGTGTCCTATATACTTCGATTAATGGCCTATTTAATGATGTAAAGATTTTTGTTCGACGTGCACACTTTTAGGAAAAATCTAAGGCAGAAAATAGCCTGTGTTTTAACCCCATCGGTGAAAAATCAATTATTTCGTTCGAATCAACCGATGCAAATTCGGTTATTTAACATATTCTTGATCAAAAAACTATCTTTTGGTAAAAAAGATTTTCCACTTGGATCGAAAAGAATACTTTGCAAACTTGAAAGTAGAAAAAGAAGTTCGAAAGCAATCAAGTCACTCGATTTTCCTCGGTTGTTGAACGGCTTCAAATTATACCAAAATGTTCGCCAAGATGTGGTGTATCTGTGATGCATGCACAAAAATGCACAACTCTTCTCACACTAAGTTATGGATTTCGAGGTAAAATCCGTTTTTCACAGCCCAGGAACACTTTTATTAAAATTTTTTTGATAGATAATTGGAATCAGGCGTAAAACTAGCGCTGTATAATTTGTTAGTTTTACAAATAAAACATTTTTTGAGACTACCAGAATGCGGATGCAGAAAATATTAATCTTAATCCTATGAAAATCGTTATATGTCTAATATATACAAGAAACGTAAGCATCAATGTATCTCAGTCTGTCTTAATGCAAATCCCCATTTCAGTGCAGAGCATCCCATAAACCGCCGATAGTTTTACCCTGTGTAATGGGTGTACCAAAAAGAATGATGTAACTTCCATTTTTAGATTTTTTTCTCTCCCTTCAAATTCACCGAGTTCATCTTATTATCGAAACATTCCCCATTCATTTCTCTACAAAATGGTGTATAGAAGATGATCATAAGGTTTGAGATGCTACCTTAATTGAACAAACATCTACAACACACAAACCTAATCACTTAAAAAACTAAATTTTTTCCGACGATAATTTGAAGTTTGAAGTCCATTTTGAAAATCACAGGAAGAACTTAGGACGTAGAGATGTCCTCTTTCAGATGGCGCAAGACTCATTTCCTCCCCATCGGTGTGATGTGGTAAAAATGACTAGTTAATAACTAGCAGCAATTACTGAACAAAATGCGCTAGTTTGAGCATCTCTGTTATTCAGAAAATTTATATCAAGCGTTTCGCACGTAAGTCGAGTAGAGCAAACATTTGTCTTCAAAATGACGCAAGAATGAGCCGGATTGGTTCAGTCTTGGCTAACCAATGTTTATTTTACAAATAGCCCCGATGTGCAAGTTGAACTGAAAAAGCGGTTATAGGACTTTTGCAAAAAGCTGAAAACACGGAAAATAACGATAGAAAATCCGCATTACAGCTAACCCGTAGAGAATTTGAAGGACTACATTTTGGTCTGCTTGTTTTAGACACAACGCATACGTTCAACTTCATACTGACGAAATATACTTTTTTAAGTGTTTAGGACCTTTCCATATTTGTTCAGTTAAGACAGCCTTCTCAAACCTTCGGATCATCTTCTATACACCACTTTGTATTGAAATCAATGGGGAATGTTTCGAGAAGACGATGATCTCTGTGAGTGCAAAAGAAGAGGAGAAAAGTTGAAAATGATAATCACATCATTCTTTTTGGTACATCTATTATATCTATTCCTAGACAAAAAATCGTTTGATGACTCACTCTGATGCTATACGGCACCAGTCCCTTCTCAGTATTCACTTCAAGCCCTTATGTACATTCACACATATCTACAGATCAATACTCTTTTATACTGTCCATCTGTTTATTTCATCTTCTCTTTTTTCGGACTCAAAGAACTTAGAAAAATGTGACAGGGGTGTTCCTGTACTGGGTTCTTATCCATACTATTATTAGACTCTTGCGAATTTCGATTAGGCGTGTTAGAGTGGGACGTTGGTCTAGGCTATCTCCATAATGACTCAAAGAAATCTTTTTGGGACTTAAGGGTTTTGAAGAGCGCTCCTTCTACTGGCTGGTTCAGAAAATTTTTAAAATGTTCACAAGTAGGAATTGCAGAAAACAGTGATTCTTTACATAGGGCGTTCGATCAAATCATTTTTCTCGAGAAATTTGCTCTCTTAAAATTAATTTCAAATACACTTTTCGATGCAGAATGATATCGACTACATTTTGAAAAAAAAACGGCCTTCTAACGTCAATATTTTAATTTTAATTCAAGCTTTACAGTTTAAAATTTGAATTTTTGTAAATTTGAAATATTTTTTGCAAGGTATCTCTAGTAGGTTTTTCGAAATGAACTTAATAATGAGAACTTTTGGAAACAGTGAAGATCCGACAGAATAAATTTTGTATGAACGAATGCGTAGAACGAAAATGGAATCGTGTGAGACGCGAGTATATATATATGTGATAAAACAGAGAGTGGCTGGACATTCTATCTACACGTCCGTGTTTGTTAAATACGTGTCTTTTTATACAGAAGATGACAAAAGGTCAACCAGAATAAGATCAAACAAAAAAAGACATATAAGATTTTCGAAAAACCTACTACAGATCCCTGTAAATCTTTTTCAAACTTCTCCGATCAACCAGTCTTGTTCAATTTTTCGAGCTCTATTGAATAGATTAGTTCAGAATTTAAATTTATGGGTTAAATAAAGCAAAAAATGAAATTAAACGCGAAATGTTTATAAAGGTTCTTCCAAAACCTTCTAGACATCCTTTTCAGAGTTTACCAACTATCCAATCTTGTTTAGTTTTTTACATGCTTTCGAATGTTGTATTGAAAAATATTTTAGAGCTTTTCTGACTCTTAGTATTTCAATTTTTAAAAAGTAAAACTTGAATTAAAATTAAAATATTGACGTTAGAAGGCCGTTTTCTTTTCCAAAATGTAGTCAGTACCATTCTACATCGAAAAGTGTATTTGAAAGAGAGCAAATTTCTCGAGAAAAATGATTTGATCGAACGCCCTATGTAAAGAATCACTGTTTTCTGGAATTCCTACTTGTGAACATTTTAAAAATTTTCTAAACCAGCCAATAAAAAGAACGTTTTTCAAAATCCTTAAGTTCCAGAAAGATTTCTTTTTGATGGAGATAGGTTTGCCATCTGATGCGCCTATTAATACATTTTTCCAACCTACATACAGCAGAAATACTGAGCAAGTTGATATGGTTGTATTCGTTTTAGTGGCTTAGGATGGTGTTCGATTAGCTATACAGTCTGTGTTTGTATTATCACATCTCTTAATTTTGTAAAAAATTTTCTTTAAAAATTTACCAAATGGAGCCCACAATGGGCCATTAAAGCGAGATGTTTCAGCCTCCGATATTCTTCATCAATAGATAACGACAGAAAAAGGATAGGAAATGTTCTTATCATGAGTATCTGGCCGTGGTGCCCTTCGAAATTTTGATGCGTTAAACGCCAGCTTAACCGTTGTGTTCTAGCTGTTATCATTGCTTTTCTAGTTGCAAATAACGTTCGACGAATTTTACCATGTGTGGCATATGCAGTCGTGTTGATACTTTGTCAAATAATTTCCGGTGCGCATGTTTTTAACCCGAAACAAGACCAATTTTCGAATGCCGATAAGTAAGTGTAATCAGTCTATTCTTTGTAACGATTGCTTTTTAATTGTCAACAACTTTGAATGAAGACTAAGAGGCTGTGCCATTCATCTGAGGTCTTACCAAGATACTTGATTTTTTTAGTTTATTTATTACTCCTATGTATGATTCTGGTTGTATTGTTCAATCGTTATTATTTAACAGAAAAGATATCGATAGTTTAGCAGAAGAATTGCATGGTATGTAAAATAATATAAATGAACTCATTTTAGATTTTATTAATGTAAAAAATTTAATTATTTTTTGCTTTTTAGAAATGGGACAAGAGGACAAGACACGTGCAAATATTCCAAAGATTTTTTTTTGTGCTACTATGTGGCATGAAACCTTCTCCGAAATGCAACAACTTTTTATTTCAATTTTCAGGTATAAAATACTTGTTGTATATAAGTATTTTCTCAGATTTGATTCTAAGGTAATTCAAATGCAAAAGTGGAGCAGAATTAGTTTCCCGTTGATTTACACATGGTTGGATAGAGCTCGCAGAGCATATTCCGAACATGTCATTATTAATTTTTTTTAAGGCAAGTTTTGGGCAAGAAATCTTGAAAATACAAGTTATTGCTTGAAAAACGAAAATTTGATGAGTTTCGAGAAAGTTTAGGATTTTGCTAGTTTTCACTTACTCTAGGTTGTTGAAAATGTTTTATTCCAATTCAACATCAGAGATTAAGTACGACTATATGGGAACGGGCGAATTTGATCGCGGTTCTATCGCTCAGCAAGTTCGAATAGTACACTCTGACACCTGGATCTGGCAAACCTATTTTGATTTTTTGCCTGAAGAGCTTTACTCGGCTTTCATATATCGCTCAAATGCAAAATTTGTAAAATTTTGTTCCCTTGTTGAGAAAAGTCGACTTTACTGGGTAAAATCGGAATTCTGTTCGTAATTTGCAATTTTCTCTATCAGAACTCAACTTTTAGGCAACGAAAATACCGTATTCGAGATAAGCGTCAAAAATCGAGTCGAATGATATATAACTCAAAATGTTTCGTTGACATTTTTTGCTGGAAATCTTACGAATTATTCAAGGTGAAAATTCAAAAAAAAATTCAAATGGTCAATAGGATGAAAAGTGCATTATTCGACTCAATTTTTGACGCTTATCTCGAATACGGTATTTTCATTGCGTAAAAGTTGAGTTCTGATAGAGAAAACTGCAAATTACGAATAGAATTCCGATTTTCCAGTAAAGTCGACTTTTCTCAGCGAGGGTACACAATTTTACAAAACCGATACATACGTTTATTCCCGGGCAGTTGGCAATTCAAATGATATATGAAAGTCGAGTAAAGATCTTCAGACAAAAAATTAAAATAGGTTTACCAGATTCAGGTATCTGAGTGTCCAGAAACCGTCCTATTCAAGCTTGCTGGGCGAGAGAACCGTATTCATATTCGCTCGCTCCTACATAGTCGTACTGAATTCGAATAAATTATTTTCAACAATCTAGAGTAAGTGAAAACTGACGAAATCCTAAACTTTCTCGATATTCAAAATCAAATTTTCGTTTTTTAGGCAATAACTTGTATTTTCAAGATTTCTTACCCAAAACTTGGCCTAAAGAAGTTAATAATGACATATTCGGAATCTATTCTGCGAGTTCTATCAAACCATGTATAAATCAAAGAAAAACAAATTCTTATCCACTTTTACATTTGGAGTACCTTACAGAAGAAAAATGTACTCTTTTTAAAAGTTTTTAATCTTTGTCAAGGGTAAATGTGATTTCATTCTATATTTCAGAGCGGACAGAGAAGTTATTAAGAGCTCTATAATGTATAAAAATAAGACTATCCCTGATCCAACTGAATATGATTTCGAAGTTCATATTATGTTCGATGATGCATTTACCACAAGAAGAAATAAAACAGATCCAAACAAATGGGAACGAGTTGTCAACAGTTACGTACTTGATTTGATTGATGCCATCAAAGAAGCTGCAAAGTATATATGTTTATCCTTTATAACGTTAAAATCAGTTGATAAAAATATTTTTTTATTTATAGGATAGTTTATCGAAGAAAAGAGCTTCTCTCTCCTCCATCACGTGTTATTACACCATATGGTGGTCAATTAATTTGGGCTACGCCTGGTCATAAGCCTATTGTTGTTCATCTAAAAGACATAACAAAAATTAGAAATAAAAAACGGTGGTCACAAGTTATGTATTTGAACTATTTGCTGCAATACAAAATGGAGTTAAAGATGAAACCAGAAAAGGATAAAGATATAATTGATTTTAGCCTACCGTTTTTAAAAAGAGTTGATGAAAAATGTTTAAGTAAGGTAAATATATATCAATCTCTTGTTCCTAGTTCGTTAAAAATAGTTAGATAGATTCTATTTTCTTTTCACTTATTGTTTAGCTGCAAAAAACATTTATTTTGACTTTGGATGGAGATATTGATTTTCATCCATCAGCTATTCAATTGCTACTTAATCGTTTATCGAAAGATAAAATGACAGCTGCTACGTGCGCGAGAATAATCCCAAAGGGATCCGGTAAGCTAAACAGACTGTATTTAATAACTTTAAGGGGAGGCCCACGCCATTCCCTCCTCCCCCCCCAGATGTGCCCTAAACTTATGTCAGTTTGAAGAGGACACCTGATTACATATATCCTTCAGTTTTTTCGATGAACTGATAACTATTCACAGAGTTATTAATTAATTAAGTTTAAATTTTAATTAAACTTTCGATTTCGATGGTATTGTAAAATAATTTATTATATTTTATTGGAAATGTACGATCAGCGTCGCGGTAGAGCTATTTTGTAGACAATCTTTGTTTCTATATAATATGCTTTAAAAAGTTTGAAAAGACACAGGTTTTTTAAGTGAAACATTGTAAAAAGAGTGTTTTTTCTACTTTTAACCATAAAAATTAATTTTTGAAAACCTTGCCAGGGATTGCGCGATAAGAAAGAATTTCTGAGAAAACTTGGCGCAGTTGTAGCTGATGTCATCGCTGGCGAAGTTGTAGCTGATGTCATTTGGAATAAGCGGAATGGAATTTCAAGAAAAATTTTTGGAACAGAAGTTAAATGAAAATTAAAACATTTTTAATTTTAGAATTTTAGAATTTTAGAATTAATAATTTTTTAAAGTTTTTATTATTAGAAAAAAAACTGTTTCGCTTATTCCATGTAGAATTTCATAGGAAACAACTTTTGATGCAACAGTTTTTAGGAGATATGCTTTCGGCAGTCAGAATCCGTAGCAAGGTTTTGGGGTGTGTATCCTTGCAACAAGGGCTTCTGAAACCTGGAGCAGTTATTGTCATAATAAGTTTTAATTGTAACATAGTGGCCAGATAGTCGAAAGTGGTCTCTAAAATTCTGCGCAAGGTCGACCTCTCTATCTGTTCTGGTTCTCGAATGGCAGGCGTTTACCGGACGACATGATAACGAATTACGGGTGACTCAGGAAAATGTCTGCCATTCGAGAACCAGAACAGATAGAGAGGTCGACCTTGCGCAGAATTTTAGAGACCACATTCGACTAAC